CTTTGGAGTAGAGAGTAGTGTTTGTGATATTTATGATAGAGAAGGATACTCCAAACACCATTATGAATCCGGCGTAGTAAGCCTGGAAATGTTAGAATCATTCCAATTTTGGTAAGAGAGATTTACCCAGATAGACACAGTAGTCAAGTCTTCGCACCAAGTATATTTTGTGAAATCGCAATTAGCATCACTTCTTCAAAAACAACTTTAGGATCTACGTAAAAAAAAATCAAAAGATCTCACCATTAATCATAGGTTTCACATTATCCTTGTAGAAGTTGTATGGATATGTGGAGACACGCGCCTTGCCCAGATTTTATTGTATAGACAGTACGTATGTTGTTTATGGACCTACTGTACATATAACCTGTGAGAGAAGGTCCCCCAAACTGTCAAACGCGAGCTCAATTATCTCAATTTTTATGCAAGATATCAAAAAGTAGTAGACTGATAAAATATTGATGATATTATGATAAATAATTTACCAGTTGATAACTTTTTGATATCTTTGACAGGAAACGAGAAAAATTGGCTCAATGTGAATGGCTTGGATGGGCTTCTATAATAGGTAATACAATTGGTTATGGGGCTCTACTCAAAATTTATAGACGAATTCTAAATTTTTCCATGAAACAACAGCAAGAAAATATGTTAACCTCTAACTTGTCACATCTCTTTTTCTACTATCAAAGGCTAGAGAATTTCGATTGATAACGATAACCTCCCACCGGAAAAAGTCGACCGTGATAAAAATGAAAACCAAAGTTTCCTCTGTGATAAGAAAAGTTAATCGAAATAGATGATGATGATGATGATGATCTTAGTGCTGCTATGTTGGATTGATAAGAATATCGACAACGAGAAATATGATGATAAGAAGAAGCCATTTTTGGATCGAGTGCAGAGTGTATACATCCGGTTGTTAAATGATCATGCTGGAATCAAATTGAAGACTCTGAAACACCAGGAAATTTTGCAGGATTTAAAAAAAAAGTGTGGGATTAAATTAAAGTCTGAAATTTTTGAAAAGCAATTTCAAGACTTGCACGCATCAAATTGATCAGTCAGGTGATATTAGTCATAAGAATTATCATAAAATATTGAAGGAATCATTAAAATTTACAATAGAAAGTCCCCTTAGCTTTTAACTTCGAGCCAATTTACCTCGGTTCCTGTTAAAGATATAGAAAAGTTGGGAATTATTGTGAATTGTTTACCATAATATCACAAAAGTTTTATCAGTGAACATATTTTTGATACCTCTTATAGGAACCGAGATAACTGAGCTGACATTTGGCAGTGTGAGGACCCTTCTATTACAGGTTTTACCATACATGTGAATGGCCGGGCCGGGCCTNTTTTTCGTTTTCAAATCTACAATGATGGCGCAACCTCAAATCCGATTAATCTTATCCTTCTTCGAAAGGAAGAGATTTGAATAATACATATTATAGGATATTCGATTATGGTATTATTTATTTTCAAGGATCTGAGAGGACACACATCTAGGTCAGCATCTATACCACCCATATTTCATTTTTCAAGTATTTACCCAACTTTTTATATGGAGAGCGTGATGTTGACCAATCAACACCTCTTTTTTCTCCATTTGAATAACCCTTCAACATATTTTTACTTTCGGATCTTACAAAACCCTCTTT